GCCGCCTGCAGCTCCGGGGTCACTGTCAGACCCCCGGAGCGGGGGTGCCAAGCCACAGGGCACTGTGTCCTCACACGCACGGAGGCCGTCAGGCACGCGCCCCGGGGCCAGTCCACACCAACAAGGGACGCCGTCTGTCTGCCGTCACATTAGTGCACGCACCTCACTGCGGCTGCAACCGCCGCCCCTCGGATGGCCCACGTGCCTGGACACTCCTTCACGTGTGGCTCCCACCGGGTGCCCACTAGGCCCTCCGGCCCACTCCGCTCCCGGAGGCACCCCTGGGACGGAGAACCGTCGCGGTTTCCACGGTGCAGCGGCCAGGCCCCTCCCCTGCCAGGGAGGGTGGGTCTGGATGACTCAGGTCCCGAGAGTCCCTGAGCCACGGCTGGCCGCCTTCGCCTATCCCGTTCCAGCTTTTTGTGTCTGCCTTGCAGTCGCCCCCTCCCGCCGCCAGGAAGGCGGGCCCGACCCCCCCCCGCCCCGGGGCACCCCTGTTCTGCTGCGAGAGCTCTGCCACGCTCGTGTGGTGTGGAGGACACGGGGCGTCTGTCTTCCTCTGCGCCCTCTCCACCTGCTCCAGCCCCGCCGACCAAGGTCACACTCACCCCGCTCACGACACGCAGCCCAGGCCTCTCCGGCTCCACCTTCTGTCTGTCTGTCTGCATGTCTGTCTGTCCGCCCTGAGCCCGCGTCTCAGTCTCCGACCGCTCTCAAACCTCACGGCGAGCTCCGACGGCTGGCAGAGCAAGTGTCCCCGCTACCTTCTTCCTCTCCAGGAGCCTCCGGGCTGCCCTCGGCCCTTCGCATGTCCCGGACACTGCAGAACCACCTTCCTGAGCCCCCGAAACGCCTGCTGGGGTTCCGACTGGCAGGGCGTTGCACCCGGAGGTCACTTCTCACTGCAGCCAAAGCCGACTTCTGTGAGTCGGGCACGCGCCCCGCAACCCGGCTCAGCCCGTCGGTCACCTCGACGGCCGGCCTGCTTGCTCTCCCGGGCTCCCCGCGCCCCGGGCCTCCGAGTGAGGACAGCAGTGAGCGGTGTCCCTTCGCAAGCCCTCCACCTCCCGCCGTCACCCCTCCTGGCACCCCGGCGAGGACGCGCATGTGGGACTATGACAGGAGACCCCGCCGCGGAGCCGCCCACCTCCCGCTCCGACCGCAGAGGGGGAGCTCACGCACGCACGGCGCACGCCCTAGGGGCTTCACACGCCACCACCAGGACACGGGGGTTCCTTCGGTTCCCATCCTGAGGGTGGTGGTTTCCAGAGCCCTGGACGGGCCCCGAATCTCCCCACAGTCCCCTCCTGCGTCTGCTGAGACGACCCTTGATTCTTCCGCTCCCTCCGTGAGCGTGGTAACTCGCGCTGACGTGCAGGCGCCACACACGCAGGACGTCCGTGGCGCGAGCGTGAGCCTCGGGGTCCAGACTGTGCCCCGCGCCCGAGGCGGAGCCTCACACCCGGGCCACCGGGAGCCGCCCCGTCACCCTCCTTTCCTCCAACGCCCGCCTCCTGGGGTGGGCTGGGAAGCAACCCCCCCCCCCCCGTCTTCACTCTGTGGCTGGCTGAGGTCGTCACCGGTCCACGTCCCCGGTCCCCGCTCTTCCCCGTCCCGTCGCCCCGCCCCGCCCCCGCAGCGACACTCCTCCGGCCATCTGTCCGCCCGAGGCACAGTCACTCTCTCACTGTCCTCAGGCACCTGGAGGTGACAGCACGCATCCTCACCTTTAACGACCCGACGTTAATCGGCACCTTCCAGCCCAGCAAGCGCCCGGACCGCCCCCAGCCCCAGCACGCAGACGGCCGCGTGGTGTGGATGATGCGGGTCCCCACCGGGGCTCCCCTCCTCCCGGTGTCTGAACGGCCCCCCGTCTGAGCCAGCCTCCGGGGGACCCGCTCGGAGACACTGCTGCCCGCAGGGCCCCGGGAGCAGACTGGAAACTGACCGTGCGCGCAGGAGCCGCCGGGGCGGTGGCCAAGGGGGGACTCGCGGTGGGAACAGGGCGCAGAGAAAGGTGCTGGAGGCGAGAGGACACAGCCTGCACCTCGGGGAGGGGCCGCACTCGGGGGAGGCTGGGACAGGGGCCCGGGGCACGGGGCTCAGGCACTGCGGCCGCAGGCAGGCCCCCTCGGGAAGGGCCTCGCGGTGACGGGGTCGACGACGGTCACCGGCCGTTCAGAGTTTCAGGTCTTGAGGCGGAAAACGGGCGTCCGACCCCATGTCCCTGACGGACTATCCCAGCCAGAGAGGCCCAGGGCGTGGGGAGGTCACAGGCCCCGCGGCCCGGCGTGGCCTGCGAGTGCTGAGACCCGCCCCGCGTCAGCCCGTGTCCACGCCGGGCCGGCGCCAAGACCGAGAGAAGAGCCGTGGCTGCCCGGCTGCCCCGACCGCCCGCCCGCCCGACGGCGGCAGACGCGCGGTCGCTGTCGTGGGAAGCCCCGGCTCGCCCTCCCGGGTGAGGAGGAGCAGCAATGACGCCGCCCCGGGTGCTGGTGCCGGGCCCACAGGTCGTGGGAGAAGCGGACATCACCCACACGCTGCCACCACACGGCGGACCATCGGACGCGAGCTTCTTCACCTCGAGGTCTTCACCTCGGGGACCCTCCTCCCAGGAAAATGGACACACGGCACTTGGCAAAACCCCAAACCGAGAACACGGGCGTGGTGGAGGCCTGCCCCCGGCAGGGGCCGCGGACAGCACCGAGGGCCCACGGGGCGGCCAGCACCAGCACCGGCCACCCTGCTTTCTCCCGGGATGGCGCGGTGCCGCCGGGGCCTGGCCTGCCCTCGGCCTGACAAGCAGCCCACGCTGGCCCGGGAAGCCCTTGGGCAGCCTGAGCGCGCACAGGCCAGCGGCCAGCTCCCGCCTGCAGCCACCGAGCGGCCTCAGGCCACCTGCCCGCTCTGCTGCGCGGCGACGGGGGTGCAAGGCTCCGGCCAGCTCGGGCAGCCAGTGCGTCCGGCGGCACACCAGGTCACAGTTCACTTACAGGGAACAAGAAAACACCGCCCTGGCTGGTGTGGTTCTGTGGATGGAGCATCAGCCTGTGAACCAAACAAACAAAGGGGTGCCAGTTCGATCCCCAGTCAGGGCACACACCTGGGTTGCAGGCCAGGTCCCCAGTAGGGGGCGTGTGAGAGGCAACCACACATGGATGTTTCTCTCCCTGTCTCCCTCCCTTCTCCTATCTAAAAATAAATAAATAAAATATTAAAAAAAAATTTTTTAAACCTACCAGTCAACTATTGAGTCTGCAACAAGTTATCTTACTTGAAGTTACCTTTCCAGTTACGAACAAACTCAAACAGGCACTTGCACCGTGTTCACAGCGGCATCGCTCGCGGCAGCCAGTGCCGGGACGGACGGATAAACACAACGTGGCCGCCCCCGTGGTGGCACCGCACGCGGCCTGGGACAGGAGGCCCCGACCCTGCTGCGCGTGGACAGGCCCCGAGGACGGCACACGAGGCGGGGTAAGCCAGTCCCGGGAAGACACGCATCGTGTGATCCCATCGCCGTGAGGCCCCGAGAGGAGTGGGGTCCACGGAGACGGAACACCACTGGCGGGGTCGGGGCTGGGCCGGGGAGGGAGGGAGTGCTTCCGGGGTCAGCGTGGGGGGGGAGCCCCACAGAGGACGGCGGTGACGCCGGCCCAGCAGTGCGGATGCGCCTGATGCCACTGCGCTGGGCACCGGCCAGCGGCTCACGTGGCAGAGGAGGTCACCAGAACTTAGAACACCTGCACGCACACACACTTAACTGCAGAGAGCCTAGTCGAGGGCAGAGACCACCTGCAAAGCAGGTGTTTCCAAACTGTTTGTCTGACAGAGGACGCACTCCCAGAACATACAAGGAACTACTAAAAACCTGCAAGAAACAGCCAATAGGAAAGGACGTGAGTAAGCAACTAATTCACGGGGGAGAAAACTAACAGTCGAAACACCCAGGAAGCAACGCTCAGCCTCACCCACAGGCTGCGCGGCACACACCACCGCGGGGGCCACGGGTCAGAGGTGGCGGGACCAGGCCTGCCGCCCCGTAGCTCCGTTGGCCCCAGCGTCGTCCCGATACGCCGAGGCTGTCGGGTCGGCCCCCAGGCAGGGCGCACACAGGGACGGAACGAACCCGTGAACGTGTAAGCAAGTGGAACCACAGGTCGGTGTGTCTCTCTCTCTCTCAAATCCGTAACCAAAAGGCAAACACAGGAAGGGGCAGAATCAGGCGCGGAGCACACCTGCAGCAGTGCCGGCTTGGGGGCACACGGGAGGGACCCGTGCACGGGTCACCGGGCGCCCGCGTCTGGGGAGGCAGGAGGGGCGAAGAGGCGGAGAGGGAAACCGCCCCGCACAGCACCGCCATGGAGACCCTGGAGACCGTCGTCACGGCGGCCACGGGACAGACCGCGCTGGCCCGAACCTCTGGAGTGCACCCCGCCCGCCAGGAGGGGGCGCCCGAGGAAACGAGGGACCTGGGCGGACGACGAGGCACCCCGCCGGCCCGTCCCTTGGCGGAGCCGCCCCGCGGGGCGCAGGGTGCTGGCCGGGGCCGGCGGGCGCACACGGGAGCTGTCTGCGCGCCCAGCTCAGCGGCCTGCGGCCGGGACCCGCCCTGAAGTTGAGTCGATCACAGGTTCAAGGAGCAGACAAAAAAGAGCCACACAGGACAGCGTCGGCTGTGTCCGTGCGTCGGCATCTTTACAGAGGGGCGCCGCCAGCCCCGCCCTCCCCGCAGACGTGTGCGAGGCCGAGCGAGCCCGTGTGTGGGGCGCGGCGACACCGGCCCGCGGGGCCCGGCACTGAGAACACCACGCCGGTCCGGCCCGGGGCCTCGGGCCGGGCAGAGAAGTGCCCGGGGTGCACCAGGAGGCAGCGGTGACCTCGGGGGGCGGGGGCCAGGGAGTAGGGTGTGGGGGGGCAAAGGAGGTTAGATGCGTCTGTAAGAATGACCACGTTTCTGACAGCCTGAGGAATGGAAGGAGAAAAGCGGAGACACATACCTCGAGGTCGTCGAGGGAGCGGGTGACGCTGAATCTCTTGGATCTCCCGAAGGACCTCCGCGCGGAGGTGCGCTGCGCGGTCTGGGCCAGCCCGAGTCCCCGCCCGAACTTTGAGCCCTGGACGGACAGACAGACAGACAAAGGTGAGCGGAGCCACCTCCGAGGGAGAGGTGCCCGGCCTTCCCTGACGCACACACGCCGCACGGAGGACAGAGGCCACGCGGAGGACAGAGGGAGGGGTGGGCCCCCCCCACACACACCCACACACACCCACACACACACCCAAGTGCGTCAGCCCCGGGCGAGCCCCGCGGGGTGCGGACCGCACTCCCTCGGAAAACAGCACAGAGCCGGGCCGAAGGGGTCTTCCCGCGTCTCCAGGGACGGAGGACGGCCGGGCCTCAGCCTGCGCAGGCATCAGGCGGCGTGTCACGGAGCAGGGGACAGAGCGGGGGTGGCCGGCCGTGCAAGGGCAGCGCAGCCTGGCAGCGACTGTGAGCATGAGGGCCGGCCTGCACAGGCCGCGCTGTCCCCACAGCTTTATCAGCATTCCGGGGAACCGAGGACCCCTTGACCCGCGGCTGGCGTCTGCGGCCCCAGCAACTCGGGGCAGGCGCTGACTGGCCAGCAGAACAGCTTGTCCTTTCTCTGGCGCACGACTGGAATTAATTCACGGTTGTCATGCCGGATGCATCTCCAGACGTGCTCTTGGCTGCAGCCAGCAAGTCACGGCATCGCTCAAATGAAAAGCATCGCAGCTGCAAACCTGATCTCCTGGGGACAAGAACCCCTCAGCGGCCCAGGGAAGGCAGGGGGGGTCCTTGAGAAAAGCCAGGGGCTCTGGGGAGAGACAAGGCACCTGGGCTGCAGCCAGACCCCAGGAGGCTTGGGAGCCACCAGCTGCCCACAGAGGGGCTGCCAGAGCCGACCGGAGGTGATGACGTCTCAAGCGGCTGCGTGGCGGCAGCTCAAACGCACCTGCGCTGGTGCCCAGCTGGAGCTCCAGCCGACAAACCAAGGTGCACAGGAAGGTCTGCTTGTCCCCAAAGGGGGCTGGGTCAGTCACCTGGAGGTGACCTCTGCCGCCTCTCTGAGGTCGAGAAAACACAGGTTTACCACTCCCACCGGTCACTCCAGGGGTCACCAGATCCCGCCTCCCACCGGTCGGCCTCTGAGACACCCCCAGGAGAGGGCCTCGTGGCTCTGGTTCAGACACAGGTGCGCCCTGCCGGGCGTCTCTGCTCCTGGTGGCAGACCCCCCGGGGTCTTCCCTGCCAGAGCTCAGCCAGCTCCCGTCCACCTGGCCCGCGGCACAGCCCAACCCGGCCGCAGCCCGGCCCGCTCCGGGCTGCCCAGCAAGCCGCCTCCCTCTAGCAGGCCTCTGAGTGTGGCATGTTCTCCAGAAACACTTGTCGGAAAAACTCCTTCTCCACCACACGTGCCCCGAGCTGACTCTGAGCACAGAGGTGTCCGGAGCCGCCCCCTCTCCCCAGGAGCGCTGCGCCCCCCAGGCCCGGAGCCAGCGCCTCGTGCCCAGGCCCCCATGGGCCTGCGGCCACCCTCCCCGTGCGGCCGGTCCCCCGCACCCGCCCTCAGCCCCGCTCGGGGCCCGTCGTGGGCAACCCCAGGCCCCTGCCGCCTGCCCTCCCTACCTGCAGCCCCCACCCAGCAGCGGCACCACCACCCGGAGGCCTCTGTAGCCCTCCCCGAAATGCAGCTACACGAAACGCAAGAGCACACGCCAGCTGCTGGGGCACGTCCCGGGAGTCTGTGTGCTGCCGAGGGCTGCAGGGCTCTCTCTGCCGCCCCGCCCCCGCCCCGCTGCCCAGAGCGGCACTCGGCCGCAGGCGCAGCATGTGCGGAGTACAGGCGGCCGTTCTGCGTGGCTCGGGCCCAGCTCCCAGTGGAAAGCGAGGGCGGGTGCACAGGACCCACGCCCACGGAGAGGTTCTCCCCTGGGGAACCAGGCCTGCACTGTCCCCAGGCCGCTTTGAGACTTGCTTTTGCTAAAGCTCCCTGGCCCTGGATTGAGGCCGCAAGTGCTCACTGGAACTTCCTGAGGTCTGAGCTGAACTGGGCCTCCCTGGCGTGGAGTGTGACCGGCGCGACCGCTCCGGCCCTCGGTCTGCAACACCCTTCTCTTCGGAGTAGCTAGGGCCGTCCCCTCCTCTGTTTTCTGTAAACGGCAGCTGCCCAGAGCGGCCCGAGCACGGCGAGCGAGGACCCCGCTGGACGAGCAGACGCGCCCGGAGAAGCCCGGAGAGGCTGTGCGGGCGGGGGGCGGGCGCTCGCCTCTCGAGAGCGCGGCCGTGCCGTCCCTTCTCCTCCACGGGACTCGCGGGGCTCGGCGGCCCGTGGGAATCAGTCCCGTCCCCCCGGGAGCCGGGGTCCGCGGCGCCAGACGACACGGGGCCCTCGGGGCCCAGGGGCGGGGAGCGGCCCCCAGGGGGCGCGGCCGTCCACGCGGCCGCTGGGGGGCTTGTCGCCACACAGGTCCCCCTGCAGGCAGTGTCCCTCGTCCGTCACCGACACCAGAGAAGGCTCCAGACACGAAGAATGAGCCTCCGCAGAAACCCCACACTCGCTGGTCTCTGTTTGTACCTTTCTGGCGGGGTGGGGCGCGAGGGGCACATGGCTTTGTGACGAGGACACGGAGCTTCGCAGCCAGGGCTCCACGGAGTCGCGGCCCCAGCGGCCCCAGCGGCCCCCACGGGCCCTTGCAGGCAGCGAGAGGGACAGGGCCCCGCTGGGCGTGGCTGCGCTGTGAGGTTTGGGAACTTACAGGAAACAGAAGAAAATGCTAACGAGCGAGCAAACGGACAGAAAAATGTCCCCGCAGGGCACTGAGTCGGCCCAGCGTGGACCCCCCGCCACAAGGCCGGTCTCGCGTTCCCTGGCCCGTCCCCCACCACCGGGTGGGCTGCTGGGAAACTGCCGCCTCCTGGCGCCCGCTGGCACGGAGCGGGCCGGCTCCCCACGGATGACCACTCAGGGGCGGCCCCCCCGGCCCTGGATCGGGGAGCCCGAGCTCCGCGACTGACAGCGCAGCCTCCCTGCCAGGCTTCACTGCGGCGCGACCACGCCTCTCGCTCACCTCCCCGCCCCGGGCACGCGCCCTGACCGGGAATCAGACCGGCGACCTCTCGGTCCCCAGGCCACAGCCCTGTGCACGGGGCGGCACCAGCCCGGGCTCGGTCCCAGCACGTCCTCCACCCCTCCTGGCCTGTCCTCTGTGCGCCGACACAGCCCCAGCCAGCGCGGGCCAGGCCAGGAGGGACGCCAGGGGACTGGCCTCGCAGCCCCGAAACCTCTGCGCTCCCTCTGGGGAGGGGGCGGGGTGACACGGGGCCGCGCAGCGAAGCAAACCGGTGAGTTCCGAGAGGCTGAAGCAGGGCCCGGCGGCCCACAGCCCTCACCGCTCACCTCCAGATGGGTGGGCCCGTGCGGTCACGCGAGGGCTGAGGAGGAGGCCACACAGAGCCTCGGTCTCAGCACTGAGTTGCCAGCCCACGGTGAATCGAGCCTTGCCGGTGAAACAGAACCCCCCCCGCCCCCCGCCCCGCACCGGCGGTGCACCGCAGCCCTGCCAGGCTCGACGGGCCGCCTCGGGCGCCGAGAACCAGGGAACACTGCCCCGCCCTCTTCCAGGGCGGGGGGCGGTGCGCGGCTGCTCCACCACGAGCGCTGTATTCTCCTGCTCCACCAGCCGGTGCTGCCCATCTCGGCACGTTTCTGTTCAGGGTGAAACAACTTAAACAGGAGCCCGAGGCCCCCACCCACAGTCAGCCGGCCTCGGACGGGGGGACAAAGATGGCCTGTCCTGCGGACGGCGCTGGCGCCCCTCACAAAGAGCCGACTCGGCGTGGGCCGCGGCCTACACATCAGACGGGACACCAGGGGCCCCCAGAAGACGACGGGACACACCCAGATGCCCATGGACACGGCGCAGCGGGGTCTCCTCTGGGAGGGAAACCGCGCAAGGAGCCACTCCGAGAGGGAGTGCGTCCTGGTGTGGACCGGCTCCGCGCTTCGACCCCGCTCTCACCTGAGCAGGGCACGCTGCCCCGGCCACTGGGGTGGGACGCAGGCCAGAGACGCAGCGTGCAGGACCCTCTGGCAGGGAGGAGGGGGAGACCCTCACCGGGGCTGCGAGAGGTCACCGTCCCTCCCACCGCCGCCTGTCCCACCGGACGACCCATCCAGGACCCCAAGGGCAGCAGGGCCAGGGCCTGCTGGGCACCGGACCACCTGAGGGGGCCAACAGGGCCCCGGGCAAGACGGAGCCTGCAGCCCTCGAGCCCCCCGTGGCCCCGGACGGCGGCCGCAGCCAGGGGAGGCCGGGACTGGGGCCAGGCAGCCGGCGCACGCACGGTCGTCCCACCGTCTCCGACCCGGCCGTCAGACGGAGTCCACCTCCGAGCCACCCCCCCGCAGGCTCACCTTCTTGTCCTCCTTGGGCTTCCTGACGTTCCGGTGGGGGCCGAAGATGGTCTGCATCCCGAAGGCCTTCCGCGACCAGTCCCTCTTCTGGGCGCTGGGCGGCGGCGGCGCGGAGCCGCCCTCCACCCTGTAGCGGTCCGCGGGGATCTTGCTCATGGGCGGGGGCAGCGTGCCGCAGTTGATGCTGGACCACCCGTCGGTGGAGTCCGTGCAGGACTCCTGGTCGCTGGCGTGTCCGCACTGCCACTCCTGCAGGACGTGCACCGGGAGCCACCGCTGGCCCAACCCCCCGCCGGGGCCCACGGCGCCTCTCTTCGGAGGGGGGCCCGCACTCCGCAAGGAGGCCGGGGGGCCCTCCACGAGAGAAGCGGGCCCCAAGTGCTTGCTGAAGTCCCAGCTCCTGTCGGCCTGCGGGACCGCCTCCAGCGGGGGCCCGGCCTCGGCCTCGTAGCCGCCGAAGGCCCCGTTCCAGGGGGCGCCCCAAGGCTGGGGGCCCCTCGCGCCCGGCCCCTCCCAGGTGCTGCTGCTGCTGCTGGGGCCGTGCCTGCTGGGGCCGGCGCCCAGGTCGACCACAAGCACCCGGCTGCTGCGCTCCTCCTGGTTGAAGTTCCCGATGCCGCTGTCGCTGTTGCTGCTGGTGCTGGTGTTCTGGTGGGCGTCGGCGTCCCCGTCGGCGAAGGCCCGGGCCCGCACGCCCTCCATCAGCTCGCCCATGTCGCGGTACAGCACGGAGACGAACTGCAGGACGGGCAGGGAGGACGCCGGGAACTCCAGGCAGCCGTTGGTGTCGGGGTCGGCCGTGCACTCGAAGCCGAAGCGCCGGGCGATGCCCTGGTGGATCTTGTGGCTGAACAGGTCCGGGTCCACCATGAACACGTGGCAGGACGTGCGCACGGCGCCCTCGTCCTCCGGCGCCAGGCCGCCGTCCTCGCCGCTCTGCATGGTCACCAGCCCGAAGAGCCTGCGGTCGTCCGGGCACACGGCGCTGAAGGCCAGCTTCTCGGCGGGGTACTCGGCCAGCACGGCGGCCTTGTCGGTGCACAGCCGCACGCCGTCGTGCATGACCTGCATGGCCACCAGGGAGTGGATCTTCTGCTCGGCCCGCAGGCGCCGCAGGCAGCCGCGGATGGCCTGGAGGCTGTCGGACTCGGGGCTGCAGCTGGCGGAGGGCAGCTCGATGGAGCCCAGGTAGCCCACCACCATGGCCACGTTCAGAATGCTGGCGTCCAGCCCGAAGTCCTCGGGGTTCTCCGGCCCGACGCCGAACACCGAGTCGTCCTGCGCAGCCTTGGACGCTTCCTCCTTGGGGGGCGGGCCGGGGGGCGGGCCACTCACGCCTTCGGGACCCAGGTCCAGTCGCGCAGCGGCCGACTCTGAGAGGGACCTCTGTTTGGACTTGGGGGGCTCTGCGCCGCTGGCGCGGAGGCGGGGGTTCTCGAAGATCATGCTGAAAATGCCGCCCGACTGCATCTCCGCCACGACCCGCTCCGCCCGGTTGATGCCCAGCGCCTTGGAGTCGAGGCGGGGCTTCCGCCAGCCCCGCCCCTCGCCGAAGCCCGCCTCCTCGTCGCTGGAGCCGGACCCGCGGCGGCCGCGGCCCTCGCCCACCACCATGCGCAGGACGCCGGAGCACTTCCCGACCAGCTTCACCACGTCCTCGTGGGACGCCTTCCGCACGCTGATGTCGTTGACGGCGAGGATCTGGTCCCCGGCGCGGAGGCCCACCAGGTCAGCGGGGCTGCCCCGCAGCACGCAGCTGAGCACGCACGGCGCCTGGCCGCAGAGGGTGAACCCGTACCCGGCTCGGCCCCTGGCCACCTCCACGCTCCGCAGGCGCGGGGGCGCCGGGCCCTGCGGCGGGCGCTCCGCCGTGTCCCCCGCTCTGTGCATCTCGCCGCGCCGCCGAGACCAGCAGCAGCATAGCCCTCACTCCGGTCGGCTCAGCGCGTGCTGGATGCTGCCATGGCGTTTCTGGACATGGGGCCCTGGGGAAGAAGACCAGACAGCTCATTACTGAAGAGCCCAGCCCCCCGCGGCTCACTGGGACCCCGGAAACGGGCAGACGACCCCTGACAAGACCCGCCGCGGGAGCCACCAGTTACCGCGGGAACGGCCGGGTGGAGGGGGCAGTAAACCGAAAGTCAGGCCGGGGGTCCCCTTCCCAAGCAGGAAACCCTTCCTGGGCGCGCCCCTCCTGTGAGGCCACCCCTAAGGACCCCCCAGAACCCGCTCCCCGGCGCTGCCCCACCCCCGGTCTGGACGGAAGGAGAAGGGGCCTGGAGACCCTCTCACTCCGGGTGGCGAGGCCCAGCAGCGCGGCAGACCCCGCGTGTCCGAGGGACACCGGGGCCAGGGGCGGAGGCGGGCTGAGAAGCCGGGCGGGCACAGGCTGGGGGGAGACCACTCCGGGTCGGCCCGCACCTGAGCAGAAGCCCCCCAGGAGGATTTCCCAGGGGAGGCATCGGCTGGTGCTGCCTCACGCTCCAACCCCCCCCCCGCCCCATTAATTTATGTGAACAAGGCACCGCGTGGGGAAACATCAGTCTGGATCGCCTGGTCCAGACCACGGGGGAGGCCGCCGGTGCGACAGCAAACCACTGAGCGGGGCGCAGGAGCTCACTCCGGGCACCGGGGGGACGGCTCTGGAGCCAGGAGGACCGCCGTCAGCACAACGCGCCTGCACCAGGGCCCCCGGCGGCTCGACGGCCCACTAGGTCAACACAGCCTTCTCCCGGCCTCGGTCCACGGGTGTCGGGACGCAGGGCGACACCGGGGAGGGGGGTGGGGCGCGGGGCCGGTCCCGCAGGCCCCTGGCTGGCTCGCCCCAAACCCCAGGACCCCGGAGAAGGGGTGTCAGCACAGACCACGCTGCCCGCTCAGACAGGCGAGGCGCAGGGAGCCGATCCGACCAGGGCGGGGCTGGGGGCCCTCCCGACACCCGGGGTCCCGGACGCCAACTGAGGGCAGCCCTGCAGTGAGAACACCCTCCTGAACAAAACCCTTTAAAGTTCACGGTAAAAAGCAACACAGGCCCTGGCTGGGGTGGCTCAGTGGACTGGGCGTCATCCCAGAAACTGAAAGGCCGCTGGTTCGATTCCCAGTCAGGGCGCACATGCCTGGGTTGCGGGCCAGGTGCCCAGTATGAGGGGAGCAAGAGGCAATGATCAATGTTTCCCTCCCTCTCTTCCTCCCTCCCTCCCTCTGTCCCCCTCTCTCTAAAAATAAAAAATTTAAAAAAATCAATACAGTAAGTGATTATCTTGTGAAAATCAAGATATAATAGAAAATACGTTTGGGGGGGTTTTGATGTCTGACACGCCTTTATTCACGGGTGGGCGAGCCACGCACGCTGCAAGCTGCACGCCTCCCTGCGTGTCGCGTGTCGCGGCCCCTGATCCCCAGCGTGGCACCCGTCGTGGTACCTGCCGCCTTGCGTGGGCCTCTCGTCATCGCCCTGCAGGGATCCCCACCTGTCGGAGTGCGAGAGGGGACCGAAGCTGGCGGGAGACAGGCCGGAAATCACATGACTGCACACGCGAGCCCGGTTCCCGGTGTGGGGACAGTCTGCCCCGCCCGGTCTCCAGGCCGTGGGGACACTGGCTGCCAGGCCCCTCCAGGGCTGTGGGGGCGCCGCTCCCCTTAGGCACCCAGACCCCTGGGCGAGGAGGCCAGACCGCCTCCACTTGCCCTGCAGCGTGCTTAGGCCAGGCCTAGGGTGGGCTACCTAAAGGTGGGCCGTATCTGCCACGTTCCCCTGTCTCCAAACGAACTTTAACTCGAAAACCAGCTTCTGCCGGGTGGTCACCCTGGGCAAGGAAGCAACTCTTCACTGATGACAGCAACGCAGGGCGAACGGACCGCGCAGCCGTCGGTGGTGGGGGTGTTCGCAGCGCGGCCCCGAGGACGCCTCGCCCCGGCGCGAGGCCCCGGTTCTCTCCACGGACGCGGCACAGGGACCCAGAGACTGGCCCCGCCGGTGGGCGGCTGCGGTTAGTCCGCTACGGCGAGTTTGGGCGCCCCCTCCAGCTGCTAGGTGGCCGCGCCCAGTGTCCTTGCCCAAACAAAGCACCGAAGTCCTGGGCTCCGGGGTCTCTGCTGACATGGCCGTGGTGGTGCCCCCCTGCGCCCTTCCCGGCCCCTCCCGTGGAGCCGAGCCCCGAACCGGAGCCGGTCCGGACGGGTGTGTCTCCTTTAACCCCTGCGCTGTCAGACTTCCACACAGTTTGACTTTCTGTTGGGTCTGGTTGTTTTTGTTTTTAAATTGTTGTTGTCCTTCTTCTGGTTGTGTGAGGAGGCACTGTGTATCTACCTATGCCTCCATCTTGGCCGGAAGTCCTCAAAAATATGTTTTTTAAAGAGTGTATTTTTAAATAATTGTTTTAAAGTTATTAGGAAAAATTCTCTTATTTATTTATTTGTTTTCAGAGAGAAGGGAAGGGAGGGAGAATGAGAGGGAGAGAAACATCAGTGTGTGGTTGCCCCCCACATGGCCCCCACTGGGGACCTGGCCCACAAGCCAGGCACGTGCCCTGAGTGGGAATCGAACCGGCGGCTCTGGTCCACAGCCCGCGCCCAACCGTCTGGGGTAAAGTCTGCAGCAGCAGAAGCATAACTCAAAGTCACTCACATGCACAAGACGAGAGATGGCTGACGAGGGAGTGTGTTGGCACGCTGACCCCGAGGGCAGCTTCCAGGAGGGTAACCTGGCGCGGAAGGTCCGTGTCTGAGTGACCCTATTTCATGACAGGTCAGAGTGGGAACAATTGGTTTCCATCATTTCTAAATTGCCATATTATTCAATATCTAAGTGGTGCTAAATTAATCACTTAAATATGATGACTGAGCATTTAATAATTTAATGCTCATTATTAAAAATATACATACTAGCCCTGGCTGGTGTGGATCAGTGGACTGAGCACCGGCCTGCCAACCAAAGGGTCGCCAGTTCAATTCCCAGTCAGGGCACACGCCTGGGTTGTGGGCCAGGTCCCCAGTAAGGGGTGCACAGGAGGCAACCACGTATTCATGTTTCTCTCCCTCCCTTCTTCTCTCTAAAAATAACTAAATAGAATCTTCATAAAATAAAACTATACACATTAAATATAGCCAAGAAATGAGTTCTAGGGTCTTCTCACTGGCCCTGCTTCAGGGGCATGGTGGACTGACTAATGTCCCCCCACCAAATGCCAGGAACCGTGGGTGTCACCTCGCAGGGCCAGGGGGATCTCGCGGCTGAGCTGGATACAGGGTCCTGAGATGGGAGGCCCCTGGACCCCCAGGTGGCCCCGTGGAACCGCAGGGTCCTCGTCGGGGGGAGGCGGGGGCCAGGGTCTCGGGGAAGGCCGTGCGACGAGGGCGGCCGAGGCAAGAGTGACGAGGACGGAGGAGGGGGCGGCAGTGAGCCTCGGGAAGCTGGAAAGGGGAGGACAGGGCACCCCCTGCCGGGCCCCCCGGGGAAGCAGCCCGCCAGCACTGGCCCCAGCCGGTGACACTGACCGTGGACTCGCAGCCCCAGAGCAGGAGAGAGCAAGTGTGTGCTGCTTTAAGGCACTGAGTTTGGAACCGCTTGTTGCAGCCGTCACGGGAGCCTCACGCCGGGCAGCCGCCCTGTTGGTGGGTGACGGTGTGCGTGTGAAACCAGCGACGTGAAAACGCTACAGGCCACCGAGGACAGCAGCCGCCCGCGGGGCGCCGGCCCCCTGGCGGTGCGGCACCACCTGCGTCCGCACACCGGCCGCTCGAGCGAGCGCGAGGCCGGACGGCAGCTCCCCTGGGGGCTTGCAGGGCGCAGCGCACCCTGCAGGGCCCGCCAGTGGCCACGGCCCCCACCGCCGCCGCCAGGGGCCACACAACAGCGCTGGCAGCTCCCTCAAGCCAGCCCAGGGCCTGTGGTCTGCGCCCCTGCCCCTCCTCCCTTCAGACTCGCCTCCTCTGTGGACATCGGCATCCGCCCCAAGGTACTGGCGTTTGACCCCAGGCTCTCCGCTCCCCCCCCCCCGACCCCCGCTTCCCCGGGCAACCGGAACCACCCCGAGGCCTGGTCTCCCACCTCCCCTGCCAGCGGGCGGGCACCTCAAACCCAACAGTGCAAACCAGCTCTTCCCCACGCGGCTCCTCTCGCGGCGCCTGGCCGCCATCTCCACAGACTCACAGTCCCAGGTCCCAGAGGGACCTGGGTCCCGTCAGGACTCCCGGAGATCCCACCAGACTCGGCCGCGGGAACGGCACAAACGCAGGACAACCGTGCGTGCCGTGTGGGGAAGTCACAACGCAGGGCCAGAGACGGTCACGGCAGTGGCCACGGCACGGTGGGGGGAGGACCGGGCCATGGGGGGGGGCGCGCTGCGGAGAAGCTGGGAGACTGAGAAGGCCATCAGGGAGCTGCCGGCGGGGGCGGGGGGGGCGAGAAAGTGGGCGGCAGATTCGGGGAGAAGGGCCCTGCTCGCCTGTCCCGACGTCGCCTGCAAAGGGCGGCCTGGAGGGGCTCCCCCGAGGGTGCAGAGTACACCGGGGGCTGCAGATCACGGGTAACACACAGTCTCTTTGGAAGACCTTGGAGGAGCTGGATCGTGGCCAGATCTTCGCATTCGGTGGGGTGTTTGGCCTCCTGTGACTTACAGGAAGAAAACGTGGGCTGCCTACTGCCGGGGTGAGCTGGGCATCGCTGGCGGGGACGAACCTGACTCCTGGGATCGCATTTCCTCGTCCGCAGCCCCGCCAGCCAGGGCCGCAGCCCGCCTGCCCGCTCATCAGGCAGGAGGCGCAAAGGCCCCACCGCCTGGGTGCCCGGGGACGCCCGGACCCACAGAGGAGTGGGTGCGTGGTCTCCTGCGGCTTCCCCGTGCCCTGAGGGGCGGTCCCGAGGCGCTCTGCGTGTCTTGGGAAGGAAAGAGGCACCGAGGGTGTCGGGCGGACGACGAGGCCGGCGACTGGTGGGCCAGCACGCACCCCGCGGGCGTCCGTGCGCGGTGCAGCCCAGAGAGCC